ACACACACACACACACACACACACACACACACACACACACACACACACACACACACACACACACACACACACACACACACACACACACACACACACACACACACAAACACACAAACACACACACACACGCGCGCTCGCACACGCACACGCACACGTACATATATATATATATATATCCGTCTTGAACCGTGATCATTGTATGCGCCTATTTTCCAATATAGCGCACCGTCTTTCTTGTCCTTGGGCTAACGTGTCACCCTGGGGACGTAATTTAAACGCCCGTGTTTACAACGGCTTACCGACCAGACATTCTTAACTCTTTTACAGCTGTCTTTTTGGGCTGTCTGTGGAACGTAATTAATGATTCTCATCCTCGGGGAATAAATGTCTACCTCGAAGCTCGTGCCCAGATTCAGTGACACCTGTCATGAGAGGCCGCGCATTGAAAATTAAAACTGCCTAGCAACAACGCGATAGGAGACGGATATGTGTGGCGCTACCTTATTGGTAAAATGCCGATGCAGCAGTATTTCCTGCAGGCATTAAACCTATTTAATGTGGTGATGTTACGGTGCGTATGTAGTGTGCCGCACGCAGGAATAAACATGCCGACGTGTATGCGGGCGGGTGGGGGGACGTGCTTGCGACTGGGTTGGCGGATGTGCGTGCGTGCATGCGCGCTTGCCTGCATGCGGGTGTGCGTATGCGAGCATACGTGCGTGCGTAAGTGCAGCTGTGTGGGTTTGTGTGCGATTATTATAGACTCAGATTATGCTATACTATATATGCTTCATGCTATACACAAGTATAGTTAACGTATCACTAAATTCTCACAATAACTTCGTTTAAACGATAACGTTGCCGCACACAACCGCAACCAATAAAGATCATTATATCAAAAAAGCACCGCTAACAAGTAGTAGTAGTCGTCGTAATAGTAATAGATGCTACATAGTCGTTCGACATCGCGGCACGAATGCCACGAGTCGTCTTCAAAGGAAAACGCGCTTAATCAAGATGATGAACGAGTCTACGGTCTTATATCCAGACATGCCAGTACAAAGAGTTAACGTCGAATTCTCCTCGCAGGCTGGCTGTTAGCTAGTGGCGAGACGTTGGCTGGGATAGGCCAAGGCCAAGGTATATATACCGCATCATCATTTATGTGTTACATGAACGGGATGAGTGTCTTATGAGAAACGCATGCAATAAATTATTGGCGTGCTTGTCACCTGAATGAATACACGGACTCCGCTCACCTGGATCCCTTATGGAATTCGCCGCAGGAGCTGAGACGCGATAGTATTGTGTTTTAATCTTCACAAAAACCATCTCGTCTTTCTGAGATAAAATTCACTCGCTATTGTAACTCAGTCGAACAAAGGTATGTTAACTGTGGGCGAATGGCTGCGGGGCGAAAGAGTAATTGTGTTCAAAATGAAAATTAATTTGTGGTATATCTCACCACAAGGTGTCGCTGCTATGCTTCAACCAATGCAATTTCTTGCGTATATGTATGCGTGTTTTATGTACAATTTCTCGTCGTATGCACAATAGCAGTTACATTTATTCTTGATGGCTAACGATGACATAATCATCGCTTGAACTACCACTTCTTTACTAGATCAATGACATGTTTATCCTAAATGAAACGTTTAATATATTGTAATATGTTATTGCGCGTCTGGCAGGTATTAAACTGGCAGTGAATAACTTAACAGGCGTCCAATTTCTGTTACACATCTGTGTAATTATATATAATATATATATATATATATATATATATATATGTATATATAGAGATAGAGAGAGAGAGAGAGAGAGAAGAGAGAGAGAGAGAGAGACGAGAGACAGAGAGGAGAGAGAGAGAGAGAGAGAGAGAGAGAGAGAGAGAGAAAGAGAGAAAGAAAGAAAGAGAGAAAGATAGACGAATTATTTATTGATTTCAATACCAGCACCCTCGGTGAAATATAATCAAATTGCACAGATGAACGTAAAGTATCACAAACGAGCTTTATTTACAAAAATAACAATTGTATGTACATAAACTTGCAAAACATACACACATTAGCGTGACGAACTTTATAACTTTTGCTGTAGCTTCCTTAACAAAATATACATTAACAAATTTAACACAACAAGCTGTAAGTTAAAACAATAATTTTCATATAATATGAGTATGTCGAACGCATATTATATCACTGGAATATTTTCATACCACATTTATATAATAATTTCTCTGTTATGCGAAGTGCATACATGGTTGTTACGTGGTCGAAAACCACGTGACCAAATATTACTTCACTTATCTATATGTACGCTCTGATAAATTTGTAGGTTCCGAATAAAGAAAATTATAACTGCATAACTTTATAGGGTCAACTAAGAGGAGACATTGATTAGATTCCACACGATTCTATTGAGACTAATATGTATGTAGTATTACTGGTGCGATATCGAGCGAAACATCATGCATCATGTACACTCTGTGTAATATACTACAATCACTTGACTAAAGCACGTGGTCCAAGCGTAACAACGGATAAATAGTCAACAAAAGACTCCTAACGATAAATACAGAAATTTCCGGTTTCTTACTTTTTGAAACTGTGACTATTCAAACGATGCACAACTCTGCTTCTATAAATCAATAGGTCAGAATAATCATGGGGACCTGGTATCCGAAATATATATGCTATCTGGAATATGCATATTGCATATCATAATATAGCCGTTACAATGTAGCAATCACGCTTTTTTTCTAAATAAAACACTGTAGCAATCAATATACACGCAACAATACGCATACAATGTATGGACGGTTTACTTTTATATTAAAAAGGAAGGCCTCATTTACTTATACAATAACATAATTTTCTAGATAAAAGCCATCGTCTGTGTTCCATGATCGGCTTTACACTACTC